AATGGAACATGTGCACTTTCTGATGTATTAAAAATTCCCGAGTAGGCTTTGTGATATTGCCTAGTTATGTGTTCTCCTTACATTACCTGTTTATGCAATGTAATAATTTACATATTTGAAGGAATTAAAGCATTCTGTTTTCTGATGTTATATTCTTTCTCCTTTTTTTTCTTCTTTGTTAGGGTGGTACTTTTACCATCTCAAATTTAGGTATGTTTGGGATTAAGAATTTTTCTGCCATTATTAACCCACCTCAGGCATGTATTTTGGCAGTTGGTGCTTCAGAGAATAGGCTGGTTCCAGCAGATAATGAAAAAGGGTAAGTGCTACATGGGGGAAAACTAGCTGCTAAATTATTAGACCATTTTTTTAAACTCTACTTTTACGGTCCAGATTTTGATGTATTTTTATATCAGAACAAGATAAGTAATATTAGAAGTGTAAAATTAAATTCTTTGGGGGCAGACTGTCTTTATCTTGTTCAAATGTAGCAACCTATAAATTCCCTATTGAAAATCTTATTCTTTCTTGGATGTTAAAGGACTACACTTTAGCCGTCCGATCTGTCTTTTCAAGCAATGAATTTAGGTGAGGGAGGGAGTTGCTACAGTTGATGGCATTATTGCTTTTGGGCCAGGTTTTAACTTTCTGGAATACGTAAGGTCTGAAAATCTGGTGACTACTTTCAGAGTACATGATTTATTATTTGTTTTTTCCTTAGATTTGATGTAGCCAGTATGATGTCTGTTACACTCAGCTGTGACCATCGGGTTGTGGATGGAGCAGTTGGAGCTCAGTGGCTTGCGGAATTCAAAAAATACCTTGAAAAGCCTATCACCATGCTGTTATAACTATCTTAAGCAGTTTCTACACTCTATCCCAGTCACATCGGTTATTCTTAGTAAGATATTTATATGTCAGTTAAACAAAAGTGGTTCCTTTTTTAAGTTAGCCAGTTGTTTTTGTTATCCATTTTGTACAGTTAAGTTATTTTTAATGGGCTTTATTAAGTTTCATGAACTTTAAATGCCAATTACAACCAACCGTTGTGCAAATTTTTAATAAATATGCATTTAAATTCTGTGTGGTCCCACGTCAAAAGACACATGGCCTCCAGCCCTGTCCATAGTTGTCATTTCCACTGGGAAATGCAGTCAAGTAGTTTTTTTGGGGGGGAGTGGAGGGGCTAAAATTCCAGTTTCTTTGGAATTTAAGTTGTATTTAGTTTTCTCAGCTACATGATCCTTACCAATGTGGAGGGAGTTAAAGGCTTATCAAAAACAAAGTCATAAAACAGTGACTTCTTTTTTAATATCCTAAAAAAATCAGACCATCTAGTTGACTGTTTCCTTTTACACTTTTCTATGAAATTTGATGTAAACAGTTATTTCCCATCTTGCAGTGAAGACACAGCATGAAATATAAGCAGACTTCTTTGCAGAACTGAAACGAAAAATCAGAATTTTACACTTGCATTGATACTTGCATTCATCAGACTGTTACAGGAATGGAGGCCTCCTACTGCAAGAGTAATTGGTAGTTATTTGTAAGTAAATTCTCATGGATTCCATACTCATGCAACTTTGGAAAACTGTACCAAATAATATTGTTAGTGTACATATGTAAAATGCTGGTCAGTTATGTTGGACATCTGCCAAAGTCCATTCACTGTCATGTCCAACCTGAAAGAACAAGAGGGAGAGATACTGAACCATTGGAAATGGTTTTAAAAAAGGGGACAAAAGCAGAGTCACGTATTAAATGGTCAGTGGTTCTACTAGGAAGATAAAATGTCAGATATGTAAAAAATGTTATTTTGTACCCTTTTGAGTTGTCTTACGTAAAATAAGAATGTACTAAAAGCCCTCTGTGGAGAAATGTGTCTTCTGGTGGGCAAGTAAATATCTTATGAAATTTTACTCCATCTGGTTATGGTTTGCTTTGTTTTGGAGGGGGGTTGGGGTCATGTACAGGAAAATTGAAACTCATATGAAAACATCTCAATTCCAGGCTTTCTGTTGAATCATTGTTTTAATAATTGTTTGGAATTGTTAATAACTATTTAAAATAAATCTGACCAGTGCTTCCTTGTGTGTGTAGTATGTGGACCTAGCCCCAGGTACTTTGAAGTTTACTTTCTCATTGTTTAATCTTTTTATAAGTGTCTGAGCAGATAGTTATATGGCACACATGTACAACTGACACTCCATTCTATCGTTATGATTCACCCTGATGTACAGTTATGAAAATGTAATTCTGGAAACTAACTTGACCTTCCTGGTAGTAAGTGATTCTAGCTTGAACTGAAAGTTATATAGGAGGAAATAACTCATTACAAGGGACCATTGTCAGAATGAGCCAGATTGGCTGCAGGTTTGTCAAACTATTCTTTAAAGGTATTTTATTCTCTGTTGCTATTGCTTAAGTCTTTGTACTTCCCTTATACAATGAACAAAAACTTAGAAGGTTGCATATTAATAAAGATTACTTTATTCTGAGTTATGGTAATTAATCTGGAATGTTTGATACAATCTATTTTCTTACCCCATATTGAAAAAAATAAAGTTAGGGATAGTGTTTTTTATTTAAAATGAGTGTGCCAAAAAAATTAAAGTAAATTATGCATTTTTAATGTGTCTGGTTTAATTTTTGATATGTCAATACTCTGGCATAGCTTTAATAGACATTTCTGAAAGCCAATATAGACTTTAATAGAGAAACCTCTAAACCTCTTTATCCAGAAATTTGAGTTAACAGAAATTGATCAAATAGGGAATGTTAGTTTTATGTAATACGAAGCTGTGCAGACTTAAGGAATGTTTCATTGAAAATATCATTAGATAGTGACACCTAGTGTCAAAATGAATGTGGTTGTAGATGTTTTTAATGCTGAGACAAAAGAACAGATGACATACAATTCTGAAAACGGTGGGGGCCTTTATCAGGGCAAGATTGATGTCATAAATTAGTTACTGTTATCTAATAGCGTCTATAAGACAGGAAAATCAGATCTGCCTTACTGAATTTTACTTTTTTAGATAAATTTACAGTAAAATATTTTCCTCTGAAGGAATAGTAATTCCCTATTAATGCCCATCTTAAAATGTTTTCCAGCTCTAAGAACAGTAGATGTCAGTGAGATTCACTTAGCTTTAGTGTAAAAGTGTTGTACTAGGCATTGAAGGGTAAGACTCTACTCTCGATGAAATGAGATGTTAAAGCATTTGGAAATAGAAAGCAATACAGGAATCTAGGGTATCTCTGCTTCATTAATAGGGTATAGTATAGGCAGTTTTTTGTAAGCAGTCAACACAATAGACCATATCTTTACTAGCACTATTGAATTAAAGACATAGAGAATACAAGTTCCCATTGTGCTTTTTGTTTGGCTTCTTAAAATAAATTCAACACACTTGGATTTGGTAAAGCAAAAACAATGCCCTGAATGCTCTTAGCATCACCGGTGTGGAAGGGATTTCAGAAGTCTCCTAGTCCAGCCCTTTCATTTTACAGATAAAGAAATAGGCTTGAGAAGTGACCTGCATTTGATCCCAGGACCTCTGAATGACTGTTCAAAAATGCATCTGGTCATGAACTTCAGGTTAAAGATGCTTGCTAAAGACATTGACTATTGTCAAAACAGCTGTCAAGTGCAGAGGATTCTCGGTGAATAGAATGGTCCTGTAGATCAGTGGTTATCAAACTCAAACAGAAATGACTATACATAAGGATCCCTCCCAGGCTACATACTGATTTAGAAAACTGCATATTAACACCTATGTTCTAATGTATCTTTATTTGGTTAAATAGTTCCCAAATGCATTTTAATCATGTTCTAGCCACATTTGGGCAATGGTTGCCTCAAGCTCTAGAACACTCCTGGAGGAGATAAAACACTAGAAAGACTTGGTCTATCCACATGCTCGCTGGATAAAACATGCCTATTAGCCAGACCAATATAAAGTTTGTTTATCAGCATCTATATCTTGGATAAGATAGTACTGAATTAATAACAAAAATGTATAAATGAATGAGTTTGGCTTAAAATTAAATAGAACGAATTGGATTGCCAAAGGGAAATTGCAGAGTTCCTTTTAATGTCCCTAAAGTCAGTGAAAGTAAGATCTATCTTTTTAGTACTCCTATCAATTGTATGGTTGTTAAGTCATAGAATACTATACAGTCTGAAGAATTAATCAAATAGATAGCAATGGAAGGAATTTGGTGTGTGTGAGCAGGCTGAAATACATGGTAAAGGATGTCATCAATGATATGTGTGATTAAAAAAGATGACCTGGTCATATGTCAAGAGTAAGGATAACTGAGAAATAGCTTGAGTGCTAAGTTGGTATCCACGTATGTCAAGAGAAAGCAAGAAAGAACCCTTTCCCACTCCTACCCCCCAGGTGGGTACAGCCTCTAGAGTTTCAGGGGGGTCTCAACTTGGATGGGACAAATAATTATATCTTTATTCTCACCTTTAGCTGAGATGTAGCATTTTTTCAATTATGAATTTAAAAAACATTTTGTAATCTTTATTGAACTACAAAACGGTTCCACGACAAAAAAGCTGAGAATCCTTACCAAGCACCAAACTTAGATGATGAGAGCATTGATAAATGTTGGATAGGATGGGTATTGTTGGAGGGAGGGATCATCCATATCAGTCAATTAAGGATGCATTTGAGTACTAATGCAAGGTATTATTTTATTTAGGAAAATATAATGAATTTGCATCAAAAGACCCAGTAAATATGTAGCAATATACTAACAGGTACAGATTAATAACAAATTGTATTTACAAGTGCCATGAAAATGCAGAGTAAAGGTATAATCTAATTGTGTATAATTAGGAAAAGTTTCTAAAAGGAGGTGAATTTTGAGCAATATTTGAAGGAGAAGAATGAAGACAGAAGGGCATTGTGGATTTTTTTTAAATTGGCAACTGGGGTTAAGTGACTTGCCCAGGGTCACACAGCTAGTAAATGTCAAGTGTTTGGTCTGAGGCCGGATTTGAACTCAGGTCCTCCTGACTTCAGGGCCAGTGCTCTATCCACTGAGCCACCAAGCTGCCCCAGCATTGTGGATTTTAAGCTTAAGCAGAGTGCAGGTATTTATAAATCACACTTAAAAGCAAATATATTGGAGTTAAAAGCTTGTTGATTCAAGCTGAACAAATTCCTTATACATTTATCCACAAAGAATTATCATTTTCAATTCTGTGAGAAACCCAGATGAGAACATAAAATATGGCTAGCACAACTGAAGTGTTTGGTCTGAGGCCGAATTTGAACTCAGGTCTTCCTGACTTAAGGGCTCATGCTCTATCCACTGCACCACCTAGCTGCCCCTCATTTTATTTTCCCAACTAGTATTTGTACTTGTGATTGCTGTCAATGTCAAAGGAAACATGCTATAGCATCTAAGGTTTCAGTTGTCTAAAATAGGGGCCAGGCCATTTGTGGGTAAAGGAACAACAGAGTAGAGGAAATATGTTAAAATCTGAAGAGAGATGCAAATGCTATAAAAACTTATGAAATCTGAAATTAGTATTTAATATCACCCCTTCTTACCTATGATACAAAAGCCTTTAATGTCTTCATGGGAGCTCAGTGGTAGAACAATAAAAGCCTAACACCTGCTCTTTTACTGCAGGACTGGCATGGTGATGATTAATGTAGCTTTCCCTGTGACAAATTTTGCTGTAGTTGTTGCAGTGTCAACCGCTTCTGGAAGATCTACCTGTAATCGGTACTTCTCAGAGACCTCAATCACTAAGTCATCCTAAGAGAGAATCACATCAATTGAATACATTTGTTTTTGCAATCTAGAAATAGAATCTATTTCTGTTTTTGCATTGTTATTTCTTCATCTTACCTTAGAAACACTAAGGTCACAGTCACAGACAGAGCTAAGACCAGGAAGTTCAACTTTCATCTCAATTCTCAGTGGTCTTCCATTCTGATCCTCCACAACTGTCAGCTTATAATTTGGAGTCTTCAGCTCAACTTGGAGCTCACTACTGGAAATTTCCTCAATCAGACACCCTTGTTTGCTTGGAATATGGTCCTTTGGCAGTAAAAGTTGTGGAATGTCATCTTGGTTATTCACACTACAGTTTCTCAACTGCTCAAGTGTTAGTTCTTGATGCACAAAAGGGATATATTTCAGATTATAATAATTAAAATGCAGTAAAGTACTGTAAAAAAACCTGCATGTAGGCTGCATGTCAACATTATCTATGTTGTATTTTTATTTGTTTTGTTCAACCTGCTCTTTTCCATCTGTTCTTGTTTTACAAATACAATTTAAGTCTAATTTTCACTTGTCAACTTGCATACATTAGTGTTTACTAAAAATTTCCTTACCTTTCTTCATTTTCTCACTTAAATCTGTTGAGTCAGTTTGGATTCCCATCAAATTCTTTTTCATCCTTTGGAGGCTTCCTTTCTTCCTGGTTTTTGTAATGTGATAGGAATGGGAAAGAGTAAATTGATATCGATCCTCAATGCATTTCATTGTAAGGTGAATCAGTTGATCAATTTCCATTTCATCATCTTTTGCTGCTTTGAGAACAGCAGGGTTGTAGGCAACATCGATAACTGTGTATGATTCTAGGCAGTTCAAACAGTGTTGAATTAACAAAGAGTTATTTCTCTAATGGTACTGTCAGGTAACAGTGTTAACCCAATAGCCTGAATTAAGCTACATCGCCCCAAAAGTAGAATTTCCACCATAGTACTACTGCATTAAAAAATTCCCACTAGAACTTATTGTCAGAACAGTAATTGCCCGAGTATGTAAGAAAATTAAACTAACAGCTTACGTATATTCAGTTAACACTGGAGATAACTCTCCAGTATGTTTGTTAGAAGTACAAAAATTATACCTTAAATACACTTTTGCTGCTAAAATCTATTGAGTGTTAGTTGCTTGCTAAGAAAATAATAAAAAGCCTAGCTGTGAGACTTTATATACCTGACGTCTCAGATGCATCTTCTGGCTTGCCAACACTCAAAGGTACAGGCTCTGCCTTTGACTGGGGTGCTGGGATCCTTGTCCACTGACAAAGGTTGATGAATAAAACTTTTTCTTCTGGTTTCTAGGAAACAAAACATTTCCTTATTACTTTTATTATTTTGCACACTGCTGAAGAGGCTGCGGTCAACTAGCATTTATCAAGCCCCTCTGAAGTGTTCCTCATATTGTCTTGGTAGTGCTTGGGGCTGATTCTGTGTAGTTGATTTGCATGATGTGCCCCTATAATTCATGAGAATGAAGGGAGAACAAATTGAGTTGGCTTAGTGGCCCTTAGAAAACTTGAGTGTGATCAACTGAGGAAGGAAACCTTACTTTTCCCTCGAGATTGGAAGTACTACAAATATGAAGTGAAGGATCTCTAAACTAAATCAGAATATTTTCACTCTTTCTCCAAGATTGGGTAAGAAGAAAGTTTCTAGAAGAAAGGGTTATTCTATTTTTTGATAAGGAGCCTTCTTTTTCTTTGAATTTCTGTAATCTGGGTGCAGAAACAGGTGAGAACTTCAGAGTGTAGACAAGAAAAGTCATAGAGGAGAGCTGAATGTAAAGCAGAAGACAATAAGAGAAGAAGTCCAGTGGATAATACTGTCACAATAGGCATAGTGCAAGAGAATCCTAGCTTTTGTGCAAGTTGGTATACTGGAAAGAGGATTGGACTTGAATTCATTGAGATTGGGTTCAAACCCTTCCTCTGACTCTTCTGAGCTGTTATGTGGGAAAGTTACCTAGCCCTGCTGAGCTTCATTTTCCTTATCTGTAAAATGGGGGTGTCAGGAGTATGTTTGACTTACTTAGACCTTAGACCAATGGAAATGTTCAAACAGACTGGATATTGTACAAATACTTGTACATACTTAAGGTGGGAGTTAGATAATCTAGTATTCTGGAATTCTGTGGTTCAGTGTGTCTTGTTCCAAATGAGAATAAAGTATCTGGTTTCTTCCCCATATGTAGGAACCAATCCTACTTATGGTTCTTTCCCAGATATTTAATGGAATTTGACTTGGATAAAAGGAACTACATGGAGAAAATCCCCTGGATGCACTTGCTTTTTTCCATTCAATTATTTGGGAACTCCTGATCAGTACCATCTTTGGCATCAACATTTAGTTTCTTATTCTGGAGCTATAGTTCCCTTGAAATACTACTTTGTGGTAGAAATAAACATGTGAGCCACAGAAACATTTCATCTGAAACCTCCCCATCCTCAGCCTCCCCTTTCTACGAACCAAGATCTTGGTCTGCAAACAGAGCTGTGGCTCAGGGGCAGCACAGTGTTTCTCCCCTTCTTTCAGCTGCTGTTGAATGAACTTCTCATAACTTTCAGGGTCACTTTCAGCTAGGTCGTCTAGGAGGTTCCAGAGTTGAGTCACTTGGGTAAGCAAACCTTTTGGTGATGATTCCATGACCTGGAAGCGAGTGGGCTTACCAAACTGCGGAAAAGACATACCCTCCCTGAGGAAAGGTTACTTGGAAGATGCTAATTCATTTGTATGGGTTAGGCAAGGTTTTAAAATGGAACCCTTGTCCATTTGAAAACTGCACAGCACATTCCCCTTGTGTTACTATATACCACAAGTTGTGAGCCTTTAACTGTAACATTTTATTTCCCTGATACGGAGCTGAGTGAAATTTCCTAGCGTTAAAAAAGGTGCATTTATAAAAATGAATATTAAAAAAGTATTCATTGCAATTCCCCCTTCTCAGTCACCTCGATACTCCCTACAGCGCCTATCTTGCCTACTCCTAGTCCCATCTGTGACTGTCATTTGATTCCAAGGAACAGCAAGTCCCTGCTACCACCTCCTTCTCTCTTGGTCTGGGGGAGGAGTAGGGCAGGGACTGACCATTTGGCACGACCAGCATTCTCCGTAACGCCCCTCCACCCTTTCTCAACTCCGCCCCGCCTCCGCCCTAAGTTCTTCTTATGGTCCCCTCTATGCGGGGGTCTCCTCATCCTGAGGCCCCACCCCCCAAGTCCAAAGTCAGAGGGGACACTCGCTCCCATCATCTCTATGCCCGCCCTAATGGAGTCAGAGCTGTCTCCAGCTCCTGCCTCAGTTTCTCTTACCCCCCCCCCACCGCTCCCTCATTTCTGCCTCCCCTTTCTTGTCAAGACTTCCTGGAAAGAGAGAAAGGGAAGGGTTTGGAGCGCCTGACCCACCACCTCGTCTAACTCCTGGGGAAACAGACCTCCAGCCTGCTCAGACCCACTCACGGTCCGATGCCAGTGCCCCCGCGGCCGCGGTTACCAGGGCAACCTGCCGCGGTGCGACGCCTAACTGGGCCCGGAGACCTCCCAGCGTCCCCGAGCTCCTCGCACTCGGTTCCGGGGCCAACTTCGGCCCATACTAGGTTGGGGACCTCTCCGATTAGCACCGGCTTTGCTTCTCTGGGGTAGCTATCATACCGATGCCCCTAGAGCAATATTTTCTCGCCCTTGGCCCGGGGAGAGTCCCGGGAACTCTCGTGGGCGGGGTGGAGGGGGGGTTACAGCGCTTCCGAAGGGGAAGTATTTCTCGGTACACTCGGGAAGCACTTCCTACTTCCGGCAAGGACTGGAAGGTGGCCCAAGGCTTTTCCCTCCCCTGTCTGCCCCGGGACGCCGGAGCTCACGGTACGGGGGCGGGTGTGGGCGCGGGCCGGCGTTGCCCGGATCCCGGCCACTGAGCTGCGGTGTACCAGCCGCTTTTCGACGGAGGGATCTCAAAGCATCCTACGGAGCTCGGCGGAGTTTGGGGGGAAAAGGAAGGGGTCGGAGCTCCGGTGGGGGAGGGACCCCGTGAGTGGGCGGTGACCCTCTCCCCCACGCCCCCAAGGCTGCCGAGGGAGGGGCGACGCGTTTGGAGAGTAGGGCCGGCATTCGGGCAGCTGGGGTGGACTGTCGACCCCTGGGCGTCTCCGGGGCTGCCAGGCCCTGACCCCATTGTGTAGACGCACTAACTGAGGCCCAGAGGAGGGAAGTCGTTAAGGTCTGAAGTGCGGGTGGGGTCGTAAGTGGTGGGGTCGTAAGTGGAAGGGTCGGGATTCGAACCAGGTCCCAGATTAGAGAGGCTTAGCTCTTGCTGCTGCCTCTGACCCCGGGTACTCTTCACGTGTTTTCGGAAAGTTTTCAGGACCGAGATTCTGCGTTTCCTCCAAGTGTAGGAGTGATTTCTTCGGGGTTGGCGGGTTGGAAGGGAGGAGGAGCGGTGTGTGGTGGTGGAATCGGGCCTCAAGGCCCTACTATCCTTTGCGAACTTTGAACTTGTCCGTTAGTGTTTTGGGGTCTGCTTATACCATAGGCAATGAAAATTTTCCTGAAGGGAAAACAGTGGGCTCCAGCTGATTGATATGCTTAAGGGGTGTCAGATGTTACAGCTGCTGTTGACCACTTACCCCAACTCTTGCTGATTAGAGTATTTGGTGCCCAGCAAGACCAGATGGCAAGTAAGAAGGAGTGGGTTCTGGTCTTGGCGTTGGCGCTGATTTATTTACCTTGGGCAGACAATTAAATCTGTGGAATCCACATTCTTGAATTGTCAGATGGAATATCTGTTCCTTATTTCACGGACTTGCAGTTTGTTAGAACTAAAAACTTTAAAGGTTAAATCAGTTCCTCCAACTGTAAAATGAGGCGGTTGGACTAGAAAATATATATGTTTCCTTTCAGTTCTAAATCTTGTGATCTTAATTTGAATCTAATCCAATTCCCTCATCATAGATGAGGAAACTGAGGCCCAGAAAGGGAAAGTTACTTGCCCACCTCAGAGAGTTGTTGTGAGACTCAGGTGAAATGATGGATGTGATACATTTGAAAAACATGCAAGTGTAATGTATTGCAGGAGATATTATTCTTATGATGGTATTTCTACACATTTCAGGTTAAAGAATGTCCCGGATCCCTCTGGGGAAAGTCCTTTTGAGAAATGTTATTCGGCACACAGATGCTCACAATAAGGTAGGAAGACAGTGTTGCAGTCCCTGACAGGGCTTCCTTTAGGACTCTGTGTTTTGATTTAATGTAGGACTCTTAGATTCGTGATATATTGTTTTATAATCTAAAAGGCTGTTAAAAGAGGTATATAAGCAACAGCAGGGAATGTGACTGTGTGACTAGCCTGAGAGTAGGAGTAAATCTGGCGTCATGCCAGCCCTGATCCTCTTGGGGGCTGAATTTAGAGCCTTCCTCTCCTAAGAAACTGCTTTAACAATGACACTCAGGCATTTATTTTGGCACCTCCTCCTCCCTGCTCTGTGACCAAAGCTTTCATTATCATGAGCCTGGCATCGGTGAAGGCAGAAGCAGGTTGCCTCTGACACCAGGGCTCTCTCTTTCTCAAGGACTTACTATTCCCTTCTTCACCATTACATGTGGAGAGCACCATCTAATCAGCCCTGCATAGCAAGTGCCTGAACTCCAGGTCTTTGTCATTATAGTCATATCCAGAACCAAAACCTTAGATACCAGGCATGACCAGGAGTCATGTGCATGCTGTATATGCAGGGTATCTTCTGGGTGTGCATCATGGCCTGACATGTTGGGATGAGGCAAAGAAACTGGTGCTGATTGTGGTTACATAGTCAGGCCCCTTGGGACCTCATCACCAGGTATTTACCAGCCCAGTTTCCTTACTGTCTTCTTTTATGATTTTTGAAAGAATAAAGCCCGTAGTTATCTTCCATAATCAAAGGACCATAGTGGAAGAGAGCCCTAGTCATTTGTTTCCCCCAGCCTATGGCTAGCAAAACTCCCTAATAGCTGTAATTTCTGCCAAGTTGAAAAGCCCTTTGTCTTCTGCCATTCATTTCAGTCTCATCACTATCCAGCTGAGCCTGATCCTTCCCCAGTTCCTGTCATTCTCTGCCTTTCTCTTCCATACAATTATTAGCCAACTTCCCTTCATTCCAGACTTCTCTCTTCACTCTCTTCCCATATTCTTGCACTTAGAGAATTTGGGCGTCTTCTGGAAGACACTACACCCCTGGTAACTTCCAGGACTGGTGCTCTTTCTCTTGTGCCCCTCAGTACACGAGGCTATGAGGAGGATGGGCACACTACTTGTTCTTTGTGACTACTTTGTCTTTCTTTCACCATCATTCAGTAGGTTCTCTCCTTTCAGGGTCACTCCCTCCAGTTACAAGATACAATGTGAGGTAGCAGCATGATTCAATGGAAAGAATACTGGATTTGTAGTCACCTGAATTCAAATCCTAACTCTGCTACACTTCCCATCTTACCCTGGGCAATCACTTCATTTCTCTCCCTTAGGCTCCTCATTTGTAAAATGATGGGGTGAGGCTCAGCCTCTGAGGTTCACACTAGCCCTAAATTTATGATCCTGTGATCTCTAATAGAGACCTAATTAAGGTCTCTTCAACTTTAAAGCTGTGATCCTGAATTCTGAAGATCTGTTTCAGATCTTTGTTGCAGTTATCTGCTAGTCTCCAGTTATTTTCCCATTTTTTAAAGTTGTCACTCCATCTAGTTATGACACACTGGATAACGTGACGCAGTGCTGTACAATGGAAAGAATGCTGGATTTGGAGTCAAGAAGACCTGCCTAGCTATATGACCCCAGACAAGTCACTTTACCTCTGGGCCCCAGTTTATTCATCTGTAAAATGAGGGAGTTGGATTCTGTGGCCTTTAAGGTGTCTTCCAGCTCTAAATCTATCATCATTGTTTACTATGATCATACATTACATTCAATATAAGTTCATTATTTGGCTCAAATTCTAGTTCTCTTCCTCAAAGTCTTCACTATATACGTATAGATATTTATATATCACTATATCCTCAAATACCATGGCTTCTTAGTTCATCAGTTTCCTCAGTTCCTGTGACCTGTATTTTTACTTCACCTCAGAATGATTAAAGCTCTTGTCGTCATCCATAAATGTACAATATTAACGATCTTGAACTCTTGCATTCTACCTCAGTCTAACGACGTGTTCTTCTATTCTCCCCTTCTTTCATTCCTCCTAAATCTCTTGTAAGATACCATCATGACCTCCATTCCTTTCATTCCTCCCTGATCTCCCAGCCTGTCACTCTTCTCTCACATTCTTGACCTGTAATTAACTATACACTATCCTTTCCCCTTTCACCTTTTGCTTTTTTGTCTGATTGCTGCTCCCATTTTGCCAGGCCCTGTGCCTGGGTTGTCTCCATCTTCTGCTGAATGTTGCTGGGGAAAGTCATGCAAATGTAAGTTTGAAAATTTCTTCAAGGTTCTTAATCCTGAGTCAGGATACTTTTCTTCTTCCCTGATTAACTCTGTATCTCTTGTGTCATCTTAGAGGCTTCCTACACTTGCCTTCCTTTGTCTATGGAGAGAGGGCCTTAACTCCTACTTAACTGAGAAAATTAAAGCCATTTGCTGTGAATTTCCTTTTGTCTTTTCCAAGTCTCACAACTTCACTGTATCACCTTTAGCCCATCCTCCTTTACTCTCATCTCGAAGGAAGAAAGGCTTCTTCTCACCAAAGCCATTACCTTTATAGGTACCCTTGATCCCATCCCTTTCCCCCTCTCTTTGGCAACTTGTCCATTTAGTCGTTCTCTCTCTCTGTGCAGTTTTTTGGGGGAGGCTGTCTCTGGCAGCCATTTTTATTTTCTAGAAGCAGCATAGCATAGGAATCAGGTGCAGGACTTATAACCATAACTCCCTGTGTTCAAATCCTGTCTCTGACACCAGCTCTGAAGCTTGTTAGCTGTGTGATCCTGGCAAGTCACCTTACCTCCGTGCCTTAGGCAATACATATTCTACTGCAGGGTCAAAAGGTCTCACTAGGCCTTTGGTCTTTCTCTGTCTGTAGTTGACCAGCTGCCCTGGAAGTAAGCCAGGCTATATATTATAGCGTAATACACTATAATTGTGGTGTTTTTCACTAACATTTGTCTTCATAAGAGAAAATAACAGATATTCTCTCTTGGTGTATCTGTTCCCTTTAATTATAACACTGTGTTATAGTGTTGTTTCTGTCAGTAACATTTTTATTTGCTGCTTTTCTGGATCATTTTCAGATTCAGGAGGAGACAGATATGTGGAAGATAAGAGAACTGGAGAAACAGATGGAAGATGCTTATCGAGGGACACAAAGGAGAATATTACCCAGGAGTTCGAGGTGGATTTACAGCTTCAAGAACTAAAATAATGCTCAAGAAGGTTTTGAAAATCACCCACTTGTGTTTGAAAACATCTTAGTTTCCTCAGGCTAGTAGGCAGAATTCCATAGGCAGTTCTTTTTAGTCACTGAGCATTCTGTATGTTATGAATCCAGACACATGCATAGATTTAGTGACTTGTAACTATGGCTTCATTTACCTGCAGAATCCTTAACATCTTTGTATGTTGGAAAAGTTGAGAATTTCTCCATAAACATGGGCAGAGTCTTAGGGTTCTGCAGTCTTCATCTTTATATTTGTATCTTTAGTTGGCTCATCACTAACAATTTGTAATTGTCTCTTATGGGCCCCTTCTTTCAT